ACACATACACACACACACACACACACACATATATATATATATTTTTTTTATTTTAAATACAACGAGTGCACATTAAATTCAACTGCAGAAAGCAGAGCATCACACGCACACGTTTATTGTGATACACGGCGCACGCATAAGGTATATCGATATATGGGAACTTTAATATTACGTGGGGAGAGCGAGCGTGGTATGGGAAACGACGCACTGGTCCCCGGATTCGATTCCCGGCAGGAGCAAGACTGTTTTTCATACGCTCCTCCCTCGTGTCTTCTCTTCGGCGGTCTGCCAAGAGTGGTCTTTGCCATGGAAACGTCTTTCTCAATCAAACCGTTCGGATTCGGCATAAAACTGTAGGTCCCCCGGTATGCCTGTGTATGATCTACATTCGCACAAAACAGATATTATAACGTAAGCGAGAAAGAATAGGCCTAAGCTCGACTTTGGGCTTTAAACGGGCCACTAATGATGATGATCGCCTAACAAAGTCATTTCTAACAAAAGACATACGTACGTTGTGTATTTCAGGACTATGATGTAATCACTAGATTATCCTTATCAGTGTTTAAAATATAAAATACTGTACGAGGCAATTAAAAGTAAATATATCTTTCCCCCGATATGAATAAAGTTTCCTTCGAAAACAAAGCACTCGGAGAATTTTTTTTTTTTCACGGTTTTCTTCAACACGCGATTCTTCGCTCTTTTCGAGAACACGTAATACTCATCCATTAACGGTTAGTGGCGCATCAACAGCTTGATTGAGAGAGCTTGATTGAGGCGGTCCGTGGCAAAGATACTCTTGGTAATTTATCATATCACAGAAGAGAAGACACGAATGTGAAAAACATTCTTGATTCTGCCGGAAATCGAAACCCAGGACCTCTAGCATGGTAGACCAAACCATGCCTAACCATGCCACCCTCGCTCTCCTTTTCGGAGCGATACGAAGCGATATTAATATTGTTCGACGTGAAAGTGAAATACGCAAATACTTGATTTGTTTTGTAGAGAGTTTGCTTGTAATGAACGCTCCACGTATTAAGGGAGACGAATGTGTATCGGAGTGAGATGCATTTTACATACCAGTACACCTGATGTGTCTTGTGTGATACGTACATAATATATCTATCATTGCTATTTACGTCGGAACAGAAACAAAAGATATTCTTGAGGTAATCAATACCATGTAGAGCGAGAGAGAGAGAG